ATATTTTGTTAACAACATTGGTCAGTGTGCAACTGTATATTTATGAATGATTATATGTTAAAGGTCTTTCTCACTGCAAGCTCTGTGAAGACAGGACTTGCGTCTATTTTGCCTAGTTTCTAGTATAGTCCTGATATATAGTAGGTGCTGAGTAAGTGATAAATTTACAAATAGATGAATTGGCAAATGAATGAGTTGTATCCTGTAGTGTCTTTGAAATGGTGAGAAAAATAGCTAGAGGACTGTACCCTTGAGCACAGCAGACTCTCAGGTGCACAGAGGCATGAAAAGCCTACTTGCCTCTTCTAAGCAGGATGAATAAGGCACAAATTATGAAAGAATAAAATTGACTTTGTAAAAATAAAAAATAACAATAAATCAAATAAAGCTCCTTATATTTCAAATATCATAAATAATGGCAAGGTAAATAACAAGATGGAAAAAATATGTACTACCTGAATGATAGCCTTAGTACATAAAAAGTTTTCACATTTTGGGAAAAAAAGACAAACATCTTAGTAGAAAAATAGACAAAGACATCTATTTTGTAAAGATGTTTGTTCTCGCAAAGAATTTCCCTCTGTCTGTAATGTAAGCTTAGTCTTAAGACAAAGTGAGCAAGAATGTAAAAAAAAATTAGAAATGAAAAAAATCTATATGGCCTTTAATGTTTTCTGTCTGCTAGTAAAATTAATCTTCAACTATTCATGGGTAACTTAGTCTTAGACTTTTCTTTTTGATGCTATTAATGATTCAGAATCACACTAATGAGTGTCACTAATTACTAGCAATGTTGGAGAGACTTTGAGTGGAGCTGAAATAATGATTTCAGAATAACTACCTTCATTCATTTATGAACATATATTTATAGTATGTCTACTATATTCCAGGTATTTTATTGGTGCTTGGATTATAATGGAGAGTAAAACAGACACAGTTCCTGCCCTCAAGGAACATATAAACTAGTGAGAATGGGAAAAAAGACATTGATTAAAAAAAGTCCTAACAAATACATGTTCACAATTCTGATGAGCACTCTGAAGTAAAAGTAGAGGTTGCCATGAGAAAGGGCAAGAAGGACCTCACTTTAATTGCAGCGTCAGGAAGGGCTCTTGAGAGAATGATGTATAAGCTAAGATCTGAGGGATAATAGTTAACTAGGAAGAGTGTGAGTGGGAGGGTGGGCTTGGGAAGGTTGGTATTCCAGCTATATGGAACTGCATGAATAAAGGCCCTGAGTCAGGAGGGAGTTTGGTGCTTTATAGGAACTGTAAGAAAGCAAATGTGGCTGAAGAGGATGAGCTGAGGTAGGAGGTGGCATGGAATAGGCTGAAGAGAAGTTCACAGTAAAGATTTTTTTTTTTGGTCTTTATTCTAACAGCAATGAGAAGTCTTCTAAAGTTTTTAAGTAAGATTGTTGCAGGATTAGATTTGTGACTTTAAAAAGTCACAAATTTCTTATTTTTTCTTATTTTTATAATCTCGCATCCATCCCCCCTACACCAGATATCTTCTCTGGCTGCTATATGTACAGTGGATTGTAATAGGGCAAAATAGACTGCAGAGAAATAAATGGGAAGGCTATGTCAGTGGTCTGGGTGGGAAGTGATGGTCAACTGGAGTTATGATAACAGAGGGAAGTAGAAAGCAGTGCACATATTGCTGCTCACAGATTGTCTTTATTGGAGGTAAAATCAACAGTGTTTGGTGATTTGGTTATGGAAAATGAAGAAGATGGAGAAATGAAGAGTAACTTAGGTTTCTGGCTAGCAGAAATGGAGATGGGTGGTGCCATTTTCAGAGAGAGAACACTTGAGGGGGCCATCATCTTGGTTTTCAATGTGTTGACTTTGAAATTATTTTGGCAGAAATGTTTACTATTTGGACACAGAAGAAGAGAGGTATGACTACAAAAGTGTATTTAGGAGTTAATAAAGATTGTAACTGATGTCTTTCTTGGACATAGATGGAAAGTTCTAGGGTGACAGAATGAGAGAAAAGGGATTTCAGTGAAATGTGGAGAAAATTCAAAATTTACTAAAGCATGCTTCCGTTTTCCTTCTTTTTGTATGTCCTTTTCATTTTTACTTTAAAATTAAAATCATTTTTGTTCTCATAGTTGAGCTAAGTTTTCTCAAAAAATTCTGATTTTCTCTTATTTCTATAATGTCACATTCTCCCCACCCCCTGAATATTTCTCTCCTTGAGGCAAGCTAATTCAAAATTAGGCCATTCATCTTTTTTTGATTATTACAGATAGTTTAGTTAATTACCTTTGATTCTAAATTATTTGCTTAGGTTTGAGTCCATCAATTCAAATAAAACAAATCAGTAAATTAATTTGCAAGGTAAGCAAAGAAGAACATTCTATTGCTGATCCATAGCCTTCTTTACATATTGCATTGCTTCAGAGATTTTGCTATTCTCTAAACAGACGTTGTGAGAGACAGTAAAGCATGATGAGCCATCACAGTGTCTATCATCAGACTGTATAGATGATGGTAACTCAGTATAAACAAATGCATTATCAGGCATAGAGAGAGCAGAGGAATGAGATGAGAAGACCAAAGGAATAGCTGAAAAAAATATATAAAGACTTTTGCCTTCAAGATAATTACATGTTTATTTTATTTTATTTGAAACAGAAGACTTCCTTCAGTAGCAAAAACTGCTCTGTGGTTAAGAGAAATTTGGCAAGGAGATGTTTTTCCAGCAAGCTAAGGGTTTGCTGCAAAAACAAAATAAAACATATGACTGGAAGGGAGACCTGAATTAAAGGTTTAAATCCATAAGGGTAAAAGCGATGTGAATAGAAAACAAGTGAAAACTAGATTCTATCTCAGAAGAATATGATTTTCTGTTACCTAGAATCTCTTCCCTCCTCCTCTCCCTGCACCCCAGACAAACTGAAAACAAAACAAAACAAAACAAAACAAAACCAAAATGGAAAGAGAGATGTAGATTAGTTGTAAGGAATATTGTCTTGTAGAAAAAAGGTGTTAAATATTGTATGTATTGGGCTCATAAAGGAAAGTCCACAATTTCTTTCTCCAGTTGTTCTTAAAAGAAAAAAGCAATTTTGTTTGTCTTTCCCCAAAATATGGCTGCCTTCCAGTAGACTAAAGAGGTTGTATAACGTAAAAACCAACCAACCAAAAAATGACTAGTCATTCTTCACTATCAGGTCTCTGATGTTATAAAAAATAGTAATAACAATAAATACTTTCCTTCTTCCCTCATATAACTGAGCATTCGTTTTCTTGACTCTTTGTAGATCTAATAAAAAAATTATAAAGAGTAGTAATTGATTAATGCCACAGCATAATCTCAGAATGTGAGTGAACTGAAAGTACCATCAGAGAACATTTAGAATAAGAAACTACATAGGCAAACAGACTAACTAGACCTGTGCTGGTGATGATTCTGACGTTTCTTTCGGATGTTGCAAGAAAGAAACAAGCAGATGCCAACAACACATGTTATATGAGGGTTTGGTGCAGAAAACAAAAACACATTAGGTTACTGAAGAAGAAAGTTATTTGATATAGGAAATCAGGTACTCACAAAAGCATTGTAAGGCTCCAAGAAGTTGAAGTCGGGACTGTCATTAGGCAGTGGATCAATTTTCACAAAACTAGAGACTAGAACATGGAACCCACTTGGGTGCTGTGGCTCATACCTGTAATCCCAGCACGTTGGGAGACCAAGGTGGGTGATGCTTGATCCCAGAGTTCTAGATGAGCTTAGATGACATGGTGAAACCTTGTCACTACAAAAAAAAAAAAAAAAATTAGCCTGGTGTGTTGCACATCTATAGTGAGGTAGGAGGATCACCTGTGCCTGGGGAGGTTGAGGCTGCAGTAATAAGGTCACTGCTCTCCAGCCTGGGTGACAGAATGAGACATCATCTCAAAAAATAATAAATAAATACATAAATACATAAAAGGAAAGAGAACCTGATTTGGACACTCGAACACTCAGTTTACCAGAGCTTGGCCAGCAGCCAGCAGAGCTGTAGGAAAAATGGTTTCTGTCTCTTTTCTGCATTCCAAATCTTACACAAGGTCATCTCATCAGCAGAACCTAAATTACAGTAAAAATTCCAGCTGGAAGGGATTCTGGAAAATGTAGTTGTTGTTCTTCCATTTTCGTGATTGGAAGGGAGGGAATTTAGATGGGGTTAGAAATGGATGTTGAGATTCAATAGACAATATCTAGAACACACATTCCTCCAGCAGAAAAGTGTTAGCAGTCTGTTAAAAATGGGCACTATTAAAATTAAATTGTGTAAATTTATAATTAAGTAAACTATATGAAAAACAAAGGTAATAAATATTCCTCACCATTTTACTACATTTTGATATTGCTTATGCTCTTGATATTATTTACATCTATCATGTCCATTTGATGGAAATACTGTATAATACTGGGATATTGAGCAACTATTTCCAACTTCATGCTCAGTGGTATAGTTCAAAATCAGCCATGGTGAGAGGATTTATACCATGGAAACTGGCAAACACAACAGAGCTGAATCTTTACCTTCTTTTCCTAGAGGGCAGGTGGTTAAACATTTACTTGCATGCCATTGGTAAGTATTAGAAGAGTTGTATAAGAAGAAGAAAAATAAGGTAATTAAGAAGTTTTCAGGTAGCTAGGAATAGGAGGGTCAAAATGGGAATAATGATTAATAAAGAAAAAGACTGGGAAATAGAAAGGTATTTGTAATTAGAATTCAGAGCAGTAAGTGTTATACTTGACCTTGACTAGCACCTGTCAAAGCCTTAGCAATTACAGTATATTTAGTGTCAGGAGCAGGATTTAAGACATCTGGACAACCTCTGAGATCTCCAAGACCACACATGCTCTAAAGAGTCTTCTCCATATGTAGGATAGGCATAAGGAGTTTGTGGTGATTAAAATCCTTCACAATTATGATATAATGTGGGAACTATTTGCTGAAGTATAACAGTTTGGGAGGGAGTGATGTGTTCTAGTAGATGGAGAGAGGTGAGAAGCCTTTTAAGGAGTTCCTTATCAGCACAGGTATGGCTGGAGACAATGGACTGAACAGTGACTTTGCAAGCAATGCCATGGTGAATTTGGGTTATGGTTGCAGTGTAAGAAGCTATCATAGGCAACTTGGGCTCAGGTAGCAATGAATGAATGTAGGAGGTTACTAAAGCACCAAAAGAGCTAGGAAAGAGGAACTCTTTTGAAAGTGCCATGGAAATGGGACATATGTCTTATCTTTACCTCTTTGTAACCTTAGATCAACAATTTTATTTTGGCACATAAAAACCTTTACCTCAAGTATCATGCATAGAAATCAACTCTCAAGTTCAATCCTGTGTGACTAAAGATTTTCTGGTAGTCCTATCAAGCAAGCACCTTAAGAGGTAAAAAACGGAGAGGTTTTGTGAACACTTTCACATATTGAAACTACTCAGGTTCCCAAATTTAGTGTTTCTAACCGTGCCCACAACATAAACCAAATGTTTTCTATGGGAACCACTTAGGGAACAGAGAAAAACTGAAGGGAAAGTTTCATCTGCTTATAGTGGAAATCTATGGCTTTTGTAGAAACTTTAGAAAAGTTGTGGAAAATAGACAAAAGTCTAAAGCAGAAAATGAAAGCTGCATATAATATACTACTGTATGAATGATTAAACACGGGGAACATTTTAGTGTATTTCCCTCCAGGACTTCTTGTTATTTATTTATTATTTCGAGGAAAGGAATGGGGATCATACCAAGGCAGAAGTGTTTGTTGCGGGACAGACACTGGATTGGCTGGGATCAGGCAGCCTCTCTGCTCTCCAGCCCAGCGGACTGGAAGAGGCAGATCAGCACTCTTCTTCCTGGACAGTGGTAATAAGAATGCGTATTTTCCTTTAAAGCTCATTGTTTCCATATTCTAAGCTGAAGCGGACATTGTCCTTTTCTCGTGCTTTCTCACCTTCAAGGCCCACCGACACCTGCCTGCCCACAGTTCGAGTTATCCTGGCCGGCTCCTGCAAGCCCGCACTCTTCTCCGAGGCGGCTCCTCTCCGCTCAACCCGATTCCCGCCCCCACTGCGCCTTCTTCCTGCGGTGGCCGAGGACGTGGTATAAGGCCGCCACTTCCGAGCTTCCAAAGGGCCTTCAAACCTCAACTGCAGTGTCAGAGCCCTCCCCCCGTATAAGAGTCAGGAGCGCCCCGGAGCCCCCATCGGAAGCTTTGCGCCTGCCCGTGGAAAGGTTGCGATCAGGGAAGGCCTTCGTGGCCGCTGAGTCCTCTGCTCCAGGGGCTGCGGCAGCTCTCATAAAGAGCGGCCCTCTTCGTCCCCGCAGAAGTTATCGTCAGAGTGCAATTCCTTGGGGAAACAGAAGTCATTCTGTTGAGTCCACCCATTCTGCTGCTCTCGGGAGGGACAAGGCTGCTAGACTCCAGGCTCGCTCCCAGCCTCTCAAGAGATACGGGCAGGCCTCTGGGGCTGAACGCCGAGACTGCGCCCCGCGGCCCGATAGCATTCCTGCATCGCTTTGCGAGCCGGGAGAAGTGCGTCCCTTCTCGCTTGCCTTAGGCCTGGGAAGCGGGGACCGCACTACCGTGCAGCTGCAGAAGGGGGGAACGCACACGTGCGGCTCTCGGCTTCTCAGTGAATACCAGAGGCTCCTGGAAAACCAACGCCAACACTACCTGGGTCAGTATTAGCTTGGCTTAGGAGCCGGCAAAGGGGGAGGGGACGACCATCCGCAAGAGCTAGGCAGCGGACCTCCCTCTTTTCTCCCCCTAGGCTAGCCTGGACAGCCCGGAGCTGCGAGCGCGAACTGACAACCGCGGAACTTGCTCAGCCTTTGACAGCTCGGTGGGAACACCTCGGTGTGTCGAGTCCGGACTCAAGGGGCGGGACGGGGCGGGGCGAGCGCGCGCGGGGCGGAGCGCGCGCGAGCCGGGACGCGAGGAGGGAGAGCGCGAGTGAAGCCGAGCCGAGCCGAGTCGAGCCGGAAGGTGCCTGGGAGAGGCTGGCAAAGCCCAGCTGGCTGTCTGCGTCGCCTGGCTCCGCGTACCCTTGCTTCTGCCCAGTCTCCCGCAAAACTTTTATTATCTGGGGCCCCAGGGGTGTGTGAAGGAATTGGAGCGTTCGGCCATCTCCGCGCTCCACAGCGGCGGCGACCGAGGGGACGTGCATCCCTCGTCCGCCGGGCTCTGGAGCCCTGCACCTCACCTGCTGCTCGTTCCCCGGAGTCTTGAGGGGTCACTCCCGGAGGGGCCGCGCGGGCGCCGGCGCCCCTGAACTCTCCCGCTCAACGCGGCAGATTCGCCCAGTGCAACTTCAACTTGATTCCTCTTGCCCAACCGTGCACCCGCGGCTGCTGCTACCGCCGCCGCAGCGGTCTCACAAAGGGGCTCAGGAAGGGGAGGCGGCGCAGGCGTCAGGGACGGGCCTCCGGGCCGCTGAGGCGAGGAGACAAAAGGGAAGCTGCTTCTGCTCTCGCTGCCGGCTCGGAGCCGCCGCCTCTGCTGCCTCCGACCGGGCTCCGAGAGCCTCCTCCCCCACCCTCGGGCACTGCTCCGCCTCCCTTCTGGCGGGCTGTCCCCGCAGTGCTCCCGGACTCGGCGAGCCTTCAAGGCGCGCGTCGCTGCTGGTGGTTGAGGCTCTAGCGATAATAAATGATAGAGGATACAATGACTTTGCTGTCTCTGCTGGGTCGCATCATGCGCTACTTCTTGCTGAGGCCCGAGACGCTTTTCCTGCTGTGCATCAGCTTGGCGCTGTGGAGTTACTTCTTCCACACTGATGAGGTGAAGACCATCGTGAAGTCTAGCCGGGACGCCGTGAAGATGGTGAAGGGCAAGGTAGCCGAGATCATGCAGAACGATCGACTCGGGGGGCTTGATGTGCTGGAGGCCGAGTTTTCCAAGACCTGGGAGTTCAAGAGCCATAACGTGGCGGTGTACTCCATCCAGGGCCGGAGAGACCACATGGAGGACCGCTTCGAAGTTCTCACGGATCTGGCCAACAAGACGCATCCGTCCATCTTCGGGATATTCGACGGGCACGGGGGAGAGGTAGGAGCTCCCCGGGGCTTTGTATTTGTGTCCGTGTATGTCTCGTGTGTGTGTGTGTAAACAACAGGACGGCGTGTGCGCAGCGGGATAGGATCTGGGTGCGAGGGGCGTGGTGATGACACCACGGTGCCTGGCTGGACAAATGCGGCTCAAGTTGCCGAAAGCTTCTTGGGGCTGAGGGTCCACTTTAGGGGAGGAAGAGACATCCACGGTATATTTGTTGCTACTTAACATGAGGTTCCCAAGGTCGGAACCCAGCAAACACTGTGCTAGTTTAGCAAGGAGAATTAATGGCATCTCCAGTGAACTTTGGTCCCAGACTCCACTGCCCTTGTTCTAGGGTTTGAGCTGAACTAGGCACAGAGAAGGAAGACAATATCTTTTATGCTTCGTTAGAAAAACAGACTATATCTGCAGAGCAAAGTGGGGCTCAGTGAGGGTGAAGGAAGCTGTGATTCCTTCCCGTTCTCTTTGCTCTAGGGAGGAATCCGAGGGGCGGCTCTGCGCTTCTTTCCAACTCTATCAACTTTGCAAGTGCAATCGGGCCAATTGACAGGAGCACCTCGCTGTCCTCTTGTTTTTACCAAGATCTCAGAGCGGGACCTAAATGCCCCTGGCCTTTGCAGAGGTGGCTATGCCTGCAAAGGAGGCGGTGCCTTGCCCTCACCCTTAACGCTCTGGCGGCTTGGGGGTGCAGACGTTGCCCTGCTTCTAGATTCCTTTGTTTGTGGTTCATCCGGAAGCAGGAGATAGCTAGAGGCTAGTTCAGTTCCCTCTCCCACATTTCTGCGGCACCCAGGTTGTGCACTGGGGCCCAGGTTTCCTTGAGGTCAGGCAAGGGTTGGCTCTGGTTCTTGCGCATTGGCCCAAGTGAAGTGAGAGACAAATGTGGCTCCAGCGTCATGCTCCAAAGAACACCGGGCCAGTCACTCCATCTCTCAGTTTGGCAGTTTGTAACGGGTTCATTGCTGCATACTCTTTTATTTTCCGTTTTGGCAGCATACTTTTCTTATTCTTAACCTCTTTATGTTTTTGGTTACAACCCTCCCCTGCACTCCTATATAAGTCACCCCGCCCCAACTTTCTTCTCTGCCCTCTGGTCTCTGGGTAGGCTGTAGGGAACTACACAGACTGCCATTCTTTTTCAGCATTTGCTTATTCCTTGGCCTTTGTTTTGGGTAAACATCGAAAGCTTTCAACTGGATATCTTATCTGCATTCCTCACCCACCACTCTGCTAATCATTTCATGCTACTGTGCCTACCTGCCTTGTAGAACCAACTTTGCCAAGAATGACAAACGTAGTAGGAAACTCATTTGGTAGAACTGAAATCAGTTTTTGCCATTTCCTACCCATCCTAGCTTTTTTTATATTCTGGTTTTCAGAATGCAAGTTTCTCAGTGGTTGTAAATTTGTAACATGTTGGGTAGGGTTGGGATTCCCTCCCCTTGGTCACAGGGTAAGTGAAAGATGTTAATTGAGGGAAAAGAGGCTGCATACTTGGGCAAAAACATAACTTAATGACACGGTTGCCAGTATAATGTTGATCTGTCTTCTTGGCTTGAGGCATACTATCTGTATTTTCATTTTTTGTGCCTAAATTCAATGAGGATGAAGGAAATTGTGATTCCTTCCTTTGTAAAACATTTAATAAACTTATATTTATTATATATATTTATATTAAAATTGTTGGCTGATGATAATTTGCTTCTGGTCTTAGAAAGCACAGTTTTAATTTAATTAAAGGTTTGGTGGTAGTAGTAATGTGGTGAATGGGTTGTGGTTGTCTGGGTGTGATGCATTGGCATAGTTTTAGCCTTAGGCTAAAAAAGTGTAAGTGATTGGGTGATTTAAATTTTTTTGTTTTGTAAGTTGATAGTGTAAAACCAGAAAGTTGCAGACCAAAACAGGTTTTAGGTTGAAAAATTTCCAGTAATGTCTTGTGGTAAATGTACCATCCAGAAAATGGACACGATAAATACTTTTATTTTACCAAAGTATTTTACATGTACATGGCTTGTTATTAAATTTTTTAACAACAAATGAAAAGGTGATCATTGTTAACCAAATCCATAAAATGCTTTTCATTGTGCCTTACATTAAAAAGCATGCTGTTTGCAAAATAATTAATGATTATGAGTACTCTTAAAAATGGAGTAATTGTGCTGTCTATAATCTCTTACTGTGTGTAGCCAGTTAGTTCATTTTGGCTTTGTTTTAGGGCAAAATAAGGAAAGTGCTATGAAAGGAGTTACTTAGTTGCTATTGAAAGTATAATGGTGACAAATAATATTAGGTAATTTCTCTCTTTTTCTTTATGTATCATTCGCAATCGTACCATCTAATTCTTTTGTGTTGTTTAGCTCCTTTAACATTCACCAGAGGAGGGTGCCAATGTTTGATTTTAGTATAAATGATGGTTAGCTCCTGTCACGAAAGAGGAAGCTTTTTCTGAACTTTCTATTTATGTATATTCTATCTCTAGAATGGTACAGAAGATAAATGAGGAGTTTAATTTTATTTCTAATAATTCCCACTAATAAGATAGGCCATCAAAAACTAAGGCCCATCTACAGTTGCAGTGCTTTTTAGAGAGGAGACCTTATATATCCTTGTATATCCATTTCATCTGTGTATATCAATTTTATCCTCCCCGTTTTTTTTCTTTTAAGCCGAGATGCTGATAGCTGGAGAAGTTGTGACCTTCCTAAGGCTATGTGGTTAGCTGGAGGCCTTCAGTTTGTTGATCTCTATGTGAAACCACTGGACAAAACAGCTTGAATATTTGCCTAGATAGGTGGTGCCCTGGGGATACAAGGGTGAATGAAATATAACCCCTGTCCTCAAAAAGTTTCAGTCTAGTGAGAGAGATAGAACTCTATGTCAAAAATTAGAGTCATGGTGTGCTTACAGTGTTATGAGAACACAGATGAGGGACATTTAAATCAAACTTGGAGGTAGGAAGGCCCCAGAAAAAACACCTTGAAGGTATTGTTTACTTCAAGATTAGAAACATAAGCTTTGACGTGAGATCTGGCTTTGAATCTCTGTTCTGCCTCATGTTAACTGCAACACTGGGCAAGTTGCTGAGACATTATTATCCTTATCTAAAAAATAGGCATAGTAATGTATGTAAGGTGCACCCTCATCAGTTGTATTATACCCTGTCTAAAGAAGCACCTAATGGAGAGAAGGATGTGGAAGAAGAAAGGCCAAGAAGACCAAGAAGCATGCAGTGCTGGGGCAGCAATATTCAAGGAAGAGAGACTCTTCCTGTGCGAGCCACAACTTTGATCACTATAAAGATATATGTAGGGCAGGGATAATTTGTCATGTATCCCTCAAACTCTCTATATCTCAATGTTCTAACTTTCAGTGGACTTATGATTACTAATTCAGGATTTCAGTTATCCAGATATTTGAGAAAACTGTGCCATGGATTCAGGTGTAAATTTTCTTACTAGTCAGAAGGAATATTCTCAGTGATTAATACATTGGTATTAGCATCTTACGATTTGGGTTACCGTGAGTTAGTTCTCTTCAGCATATTTAACTGTGAATTATTTGGCAAAGATAGGTCTCTGGACTTGTTATGCTGAGGACCAGACTCTGTAGGGCTGTGGCTTCTTCTAGATTCATTAAATTTAAAGACCCTCATCTCAGTGGTCCTGCAGGCCAGCTTCCTCCCTTGATTCTAATCATGATACTGTGTGTGAATGGTTCACCGTATGTGTATGTGTCTAAAGCTATGGCAGTGATTGTTTTCTTGTATAACAATATTAAAACAACAAAAAGGTAAAAAAGAGCTCATTATATAAACTGTTATAGAAAGATTATTTTTAAGCTAAAAATAATTTTCATCTAGGAAAATCATTGTTTTTGTGCTTGTAATTTTTTTGATAGGCAAAAGGTAGTGGTTTTTTTTTTTCGTTTCTATGTTTTTTTCTTTTTATGCTATCTAGAAGAAATACTACCAAATCCTTTGACACATCTATCAATGTTCATGGCTGAAAACTAGCTAAAGAATAGATTGTTTTGTGCTCCATATGCTCATGGGCATTACTTTATTAAAGGTCTTAGGTATTTTGAGAGTTGGCACACAGCTTGGCCAGTGGTTAAAGCCTAGAGTTCCACATTTTGCATGAGAGAGAACTCATACTTCAAGCACTTGTCAGCGGCTGCAGTCTTGAGGCTCAGCACTTCTTAGAAGCTCAGAAAATAAACTGCTTATCGAGGGCTGCATGAAGAATCTATATATATAGTCTGATTCTTTAAATCAGTGGTTCTTAACTTTTCTTGAGTCATGCTACTCTTTGAGAATGTTATGAAACTACAGACATATCCCCCAGAAAAAAGGACATGCATATCAAATTTTCTTTGTAGTTTCAGAGACAAGTGGATGCATGAAGCCTCTGGATTTCAGGCTAGTCTAGATAGAATAAAATCTGGTTTTGATGTATCTAGATCTGCAAGGAACTGTGTACCTGAACTCCTTGCTTGGCCCTCCTACCTTCCTCTCCATCATTTGCTTTTATTGAATTGTGTGCTGTCATTTGCCTGTGAGGGTTGTTTTGAGGAATAGTCTCCCACAGCTCTGAAAAATCAACTGCAAGAATGTTGTTGAGGAAATCATTTGTTATATTATATAGTATCATCTTAATGAGGACCAAGGGAGAAATAGTACTCTATTACCTTTTTATCTTAAGGATGCTGAATTATGTAACTGATTGGGCCATCCAGGGTTTGCTGGCTGCTACAAGCATTAAGAGCCAAACCTCTGACTTACCTCTAGCAAATAAGTAGACTTTTATGGAATACATTCACCTGGTACATGAACCTCACTCCTAGGACAGCTTATCTTTCCTATACTCAGTTTTCCTTTATCCCATTTGTATTAGTCTGTTTTCCACTGCTGATAAAGACATACACAAGACTGAGCAATTTACAAAAGAAAGAGGTTTAATGGACTTACATTTCCATGTGGCTGGGGAGGCCTCACA